GCGCTAACTCTCATTAGCTCTGTTATTTGTTAATTTTTTATGTTTTAAAGACTGAAAGAGCCTGTTTTAATTATATTATTGCTTATTGCTTATTTATTATTAGTATGATCGCGATTAAGTTATCCTACTGAGCTTATTAGTACGCAATAGGATATGGTTAGACATTGGCTGCGTTCAGCAGAGAAAACAGCTTTGCAAGTGTTGTAAAATTTTTCTATGTGATTGGTTTGTATATATAAATCCATAACGAACCAAAAGCAAACACCAATCGTATTGAAGAATTTTACAACAGTCGAAAAGCTTTCTTTGAACGTAGCTATGAACGTATTATATTTGTTATTGCACATTTATGAAGTAATGTAGGTAGGAATACACGGAAGAGATAGCTATCCGCGAATAGACGAATAAATGAAAATACAAATAGGTAGGATAAGTATGGATAGGTAGGAACAATAAATGTGGATAGGCAAGGATGAACACAATCATTTTAAATTAAAAAATTAAATTCTTACATATAAAATAATTTAAATTAAATTACTACAAATGAATTAAATAAAATGAATTAAATAAATTTCGCGGTCGGGTAATTAAATTTTATTTTAAAAATAAAAAAATAAGTATAATAAAACTAAAAGATATTACATAATAAATTTAATTAATAAACTGTGATATGTAGACAAGAATACATAAACATCATATGTATATATTTGATAATTAGAAAGGAGAGATTAAAAATTAAATAAAATTTGAAATTAATTTTAAATTTTATTTAGTTATCAGCATCTCGTTCTAACTATATTAAATATAAAAATAAACAAAATTATGTATAATTTTAAATTTTATTGAATTTTCAGCTCCTCGGAAATTAAACTTAATATCTTATAAAATTCTATACATATACGAAGTATGTAACGCGTTGATATTATAATTAATTTTGTTGTAAATAAATGTATGTATAATAGTATTAAGTATATAATATAAAATGTAAACTATGTCCAGATAAATGCCATCATGTACTTTACTTTAGTAATTTGCGCAATAATTACTAAAACTATACATTTATTGGAATGTTTATATATCTGTATTGAATATATCTATTTAATATAGATAGCATTTATCTTGTTCGTAGTAAATCAAATTTATTGTTGTTTTATTGATGTAAATTACACGAAATCGACGAAACATATGATAACAAAAATTGTTTATTAATTTAATGAGTTCGATAGACATTTAATTTTAAATTTTGGATTTTATTTTGAATATCAAAAAGTCATTAATAATTTTGAGTGGCTTCTAATTTTATGTTTAGAATAATCGTCAATTTTTTATCTATTTAGTGTACAAGTTTTAATTTATTAAATAAATTAGTAAAGATTGGAGCTTTGACTGAGGCAATGGTTAAATATTATCTTCTTGCTTGCTTTTTGACATTTATATTTTTAACATTACAAAGTTACAAGTATATCTCAATGATTAATTTATTATGTGTGAAAGCCTCATCGCTGTCCCTCGAATCAGATGAATATTAGTGAATGCATGATTTGTATCGAGGAAAAGTCGAAATTGTTTTTATCATGGAGAATTATTCTTCGTCGTTTTCCGTAAAGTTCATTCGCAAAGTCTAGTTTAGTGTTCTGTTGGATATTCTTGTACACAGGATCGGAATTAATTCCGGATTTTCTCGTCTGCAATTATTGGAAGTAATAATTTTGTCAATTATTGCTATATATTTTAAAATCAAGCTAAAAAATTAATTCAGTGATGTAATTAGCATACAATTATCGTTTTCTTTGTTTTATTAAATATTCTCTCACTACTAATAATGTTAGTAACAGTACTATCTTAATAACAATAAAAATTTTATATTATATGATTATATGATTAATATGGATATACATATAATGATTATTTGTTTAAATCCAAATTATTAAGTAAATAAATTTAAGTTTTATACAAATAATTTGCTTATATTTCGATGATTGTTCAAAAATATGGTTACGAATGTATATTTAATTTTTTAACTGTTATTTTTAAATCATTTTTAGGTATTGGACATTCCGCCATTCCAGAATATTGTTAATTATTAATTTATGTGTATTTTTTTATGATAAAATACATGCAAATAATGAGATTATATTTAACAAATTTTGATTTTTGTTGATTTAGATAATTTTTACTAAAATACTATGTTCTTTTAATGGTATTGTTAAAACATGATTATAAACATGATTATGAATTTAATAAAAAATGTGTGAGTGCAAAAAATTCGAGATAAGTCGAATGGGTATCCTCATATTAGCGGGATATTAATAATTAAAATTTTGAGAAAATACAGAAAAATAAGAATCGTTAAATTTCATATAATAAATTTTTAGTATGAAAATATAATTCTTTAAAATCCTGTTATTATCAGGTTCGATTTATTTCGAACAGTTGGTACCCGAGAAACTTTTGTACCCATACATATAAAAAATTACAATAACGCATGTATTTTATTATTATTAAATATATTCCTTCGTAACCACTATTCCATAAGGAAATTATTCTATCCATTTATTTTTAATAAGTGATGATTTTTAATGTGGCAGAACATTTTCTCGTGAATTTTAATATTATATTAAAGATGCGATAAAAATTGTAATTGTAATTATAATTGACATGCTACCAAAATTATTACTATCGTAAGTGGTCTGGAAGATTCAGGATACTCTCCTGTAATAAGATCGCTGATTTTAACGGCTTAACTTTTCTTTGCGAATGGATCTTGTGAATTTGATAGAATCGAAATACATCAAGTTTGCTCTCCTATAAGATATTGTTCGTCTTTGTATCGGATACTAATCAGCGTAAAATTAGACAAAGGGACTTTGATGTGATCAAATTATTGGGACAGTTATTGTATTTTGAATGCGATAAAAATGCTAGTCATAAATATATTAATGACTTAATTTTTATCGCGATATTAATGAGTTTTATAATCGCAAATTAATAATTAATAGTAAATGCGATTTAATTCTTGTTAATATTTCATTCCGCGTTTATCAATATTTTATTAAACATTGGTATTTAGAAAAATTTGTGTTATCATATGTATTTTCGCCGTTTTCGTATATCCCGTATTACTAAATGTTGTTGATTATATGCTTCTATAATATAATTTTTATTATATTTCAAACAGCATTTATAATTGTACATTATATTGTAAACAATTATTATTATATTATTAAATGTATAAAGAATTACAATAAAAGATAATATTAAAAAAGTTATGCAATATTAATTAATATGTCTAATTATTTTATTGTATTTCACTAATCATAATGCAATATGATTAGTGAAATACAATAAAATAATTAGACATAAAAATAAAAAATAAATTTAAAATATACTTACCTGCAAAAATGAACTACTGAATTTATTAGTAGCTCGTTTTTTTAAGAGTGAGTATACTTACAAAGAAAAGAGGACCGCCGATAAAATCGGCGGGGGTGGTGGAGGGCCTCTTATACAAGTTGATTCGTTTTTATTTATTTAAATTTTCTTTATACAACTTTAAATTAAATGTAGTTTGCAATTAGAATAATTCCAACTTTATTCAAATTGCAAATTGTAATATGATAAAATAGCGCATTAATTGATCCGCCATGTTTCAGGAATTTCCGTGCTATATTTGAAAACTTATATTTATTTTTTTTTTAATTTCAACAATATAATTAAAATTAAATATTTTAAAGGTATTAAATCAAATAAATTTCTTACATATCAGCTTTCAATCGTGAAAGCTCTACTTTGTTGTACTTAACGATACAAAGCAGAGTTCTTATATGGATATCGCTCGACGCTCATTTCTCGCATCCAGTGTGCAATATATACATTAAGGTCAGTATTTATTTCGGTATTCAATCGATTCTTATTTTAAGACCATCTTAAATAATATCCTAAGATGCTAATACAGCTGTCTGATTGGTTCATGACATCTTAAGATTGTACTTAAGACGCGAGATCTTAAATATAAGATCTGACTATGAATACAGGCAGAGAGAAATCTGAATTTCTATTAATTTGATAGATTTTAATTATTTCAGCGATTTCAGCCATCTATTTTCATCAGGGGCACCGCAAAAAATGGATATTGTCGTGTTACATCCATTTCTAAGAGGACAATTATAGTGTGTGGTAATTTTGTGATTACAGGAAAATGTCTTCACGTCATCTCTCAAGTTTCTGTCTGGTACGATTAATATGTGTGCACGTGACATAGTGCATTTGATTTATTTTGGCATTATTTGATACACAAATGGCCTGTTCTTTTAATTAAACTTCTTGCACTCTTTTATATTAAGCTTTTCTCTTTTCCTTTTCAGTATGGAAAGAAAGAGAAGAAAGATGTGCAAATGTTCAACTAAAACAGACTTATAATCAAACCAACGCACCCTGGCCTCATCAACTCCGATTAATAACTAAACTATATTATAATTTTATGTTTTATAGATTTTAGTTTTGATTTAATTTACTCTTTATCGTTTTTTAATTTTTAGAATTAGAAAAAGATAAAAGATAAATTAATTCACCGAGGAGATACTTTAGATATTAAAGACCGTCAATTCTGAGCAAATTTTCGGCGGTATAAAAAGAGCCCCAAGGGTCTAGAGGTAATTGAAAAACGCTGACTTTACCGACAATTGATATAAATTTGTTATTAACATAAATATTATAACTCACTACATTATTAAATTCATGATTTTGTATTATATAAATGTTCCACAAATAAATATGCATACTTGTAAAATTATAATATCCTATTTATTGCAGAAAAATTACAATTTTTTCTCTGCAGTTATCATCTCTGTTGATAATCAAAATTTGACCATCTACATTGATAAAAACAAGTAGAAACAATTTTAGATAAAGCAGCGTTAGATGGCAGCAGCTACAAAAGGCACTATTTGACGCTACTAATGCACAGCTGATATACGCACTATATGTGATTATATTGTACAATACATAGTAATTGTAATATTCGTATCTATGTGTTGTTTAACCGAAAATTGTAGGCGTAAAACGCAGATTAGATATTTGTCTGTCGGTCAGAGAAATATGTTTTAAATCTCATTTCAATTAATCAGTCTCATTCTCTCTGTCATTATTGGTATATTGGTTACCGTTGCGCAGCAAAGATGCCTAATCTAACCAATTTATCCCATTTTCCTTTAAAGGTAATGTATGAAGTGTTAACTACGTTCTTTCTTATTCAATGTATGCGTTTTCAATGTTGTCATTGATTCACGACGTAATGTTGTATTTTTAATTGACATTTATGTGTATATTTGAATTCATAACTTATTTTTATTCTTCGATTAGCAATTCAATTTATAAATATATAAATATTGCATGATCAATGAAAACAATACGATATCGTTTCATTATATTTTTCAGATTATATTTGCCATTCACTTGCTACTTGTATCATGGTAAGGACAGCTTGGTGGATTCTCTGCTGAAGTGGAAAAATTTTATGTATCTGTAAGAACTTGTATTTTTAATATGTATAAAATGTGAAATATGTTACAGGGGTATACAAGGACATTGGTGTCCCAAATCTGTACTGGTTTATAACTTGCTATTCTTTGTTTGTATATTTTGGGCTGTTCATAATGTTGAATCTGATGAACCACTGCAATTTGTAAGTTATTAAAAGTAGAAAGAGAGAACTTATTTGTGTTTATTTGAAATTGGCTGTAATTATGTATATATTTTACAGGCATTTTTCATAAATGTATTTTCTATACTTCTTGATGTTATTGCATTAGCGCTCTATTATCCAAGTATGTTCACAGGTAAATATATTGAATATATGTATATACGTATGTATGTTGCAGTTAATAAAGAAAGAAGGAAAATGAGACATTACAAATTGTTTATTGATCAAAAGGTTTTATTAACTCTGAGTTCATTAATTTGTAGATGGATCTGAAAAATTTAGTGCAGCTGTTATGGTCATAAATTTAATCGTTCGTCCTATCTCGAGTATATATCTATTGAGAATAGGCCAAGAAAGAAATGGCAACTTAGCCACAGTATTCGCACCAAGTCCTGCCATGGGTCAGTAAATCACTGGCTACACATCTACGCTTTTGTAGTGCGTCAGTGCTTCGTCAAGATTTGATTTTAAGTATGTGCACGTATGCTTTATTGCAAACTGCAATTATTTTGTGCATTATTAATAACTTACGATTTTTAGTTACTTAGGTATCTATGTATCCAGTTATGGCACTTCTGTTAAGACTGCTTTTTGCTTGAATTTATGTTGCATAAAAGTATAATGTGCTGCAACACTTTTTAATGATTGTAAATAAAATTAGACTACGTCACATACATATTAATTACGTTACTTTGTTTAAATTCTTTAGGTTACGGCAGGCAAGAGTACGAAGAAATTTCTCATCCCGTCCCACAAAACTCCGATTTCGAGGGAGTTTAAGATTGAATAGAGTTTGTTTGAAAAATTTTTTTTTATCTTATTTTAATCCTGCTGGTCTGTTAAAATTTATTATACGATCATATGGATCAATATGATTTAAAAGTTCTAAAAAATAGAAAACATTTACAAAAAAAAAGATCTTAGCATTAGAGATGAAATCATTAAATATTAGAGAAAAAAGTTTTTAAATAGAATATTAACAAGAAATTAAATTACATTATGAGTCAAATTTAAATAGACCACCAGAGTTAAATCTTATATAATATATACATGTTTGTGACATAATATATTTTAGATTATAATTTTGTAAGATTATTTATTAATGCTATATTAGCATTAATGAATGCTGTGTTTAAATATATAAATTGCTTTACATAACGTTTTGTTAAAAGCTTTAAAAATTAAAGATTATATATTTTTATTTATAACTGTTAATTTTCTATTTTCTAGTTGAATTTTGTGCAATATGTTAAGATATATATATA